CCGTTTTGAATTGGGTATATATACCCAAAATATGGCAGAAAAATGGCCATTACATCTCCTTTTATAACTTTTTCATTTTACCAAATGGGGGAGTCCCATTTCTCTCTTCCCTTTGTCTTTTCCCTCCCTCGTCGGGGGAGGCAGACAGTCGACGACCACCGCTATCGACATGCTCCACCCCCGCACACAACGATCGAAGTTCAAAACTCTCTCCAAAATGACCATCTCTCTCTTCTAAACCTGAAATCCAATCTCATTTATCCTAAACATATCCATATCGTTCTAGATTTAAACAAAATAAAGGGATTAAATTCGAAAAAACAGTGGCCATGTTTGCTTCGGTGAGAGGTTCGATGCTTCGATGGTGAGTCCCTCTCTCTTCTCTTTCTATTTTTTTCTTCGAAAGTCTCTTCTCTCATCCCCAAAATCTCTATTTTCATTCGAATAAAGACCCCATTTTTATAACTAAAACCCTTAGTTTCTTATGTTTTTGGTGTTCCATGCAAAAAAGGAAGAAATATTTCTAACTTTGTTATTGATTTGTTGTACTTTTCATTTTTGTGTATTGACCGATGAGAGGATTCGGCGGGTACAAAGCCCTGGCAGGCGGTGGAAATGACGTGTAAAAAACTTTACCCTAAAATTTGTCTTTCTCTCTCTCTTATGATGAGTGAAGGACCTGGCGGTAGTGACATCATCGGGCTTGCATGGGGAACCGAGGAGTCACGGGTGCACTTTACAGTTGGTAACATAGTGCGTGGGAATTTTTCGGGTGTGTGGAGGAGGTGACTTGGATAAGAGGATTAGGGTGAAACCCTTCCCCACGCATAATCGACTCCCAAACTCAATTTTTGATACATAGATCATAAAATGTTATTTTAATCAAATTTTATTAAAATGCAAAATTATTTCGGGCACCCAATCACACATAACACAAATATTGGTGGCGACTCTACGAAATATTTTTTACTATTTCAAATTAGAGTCCCAATTTAGTCAAGACAACCATTTTTTTAAAATTCCCGATTTTATTGATTTTTAACAACGCTTCGACAAAGACATAACTCAATTCAATCAAACACCATAAATCGCATCAACTACAATTTTAAGATAACAATGTATACAAAATCATAACATAACTTTTATATATCAATTCTACACAATTTTTTTAACATACTCAAACATATCAAAACATCGAACTTACGTATAAAAACTTGTAACATCTTTCTTTTTGACTTGATAGTGACCAATATTTAATAATAGTTACCGAATAGTCAAATCAATTTTTAGAAAACCCATTTTCACTATTAAATTAGAAAAATATTTTAGAAAGAATAAAATCATAAGGTTTAAAATAATTTCAGTTTTGAATTTATTATTGAATTATGCTAACTTGGTTTATGAAATCAATTTAAGGATTATTTTGAAATGAGGACCAAATTTGATGCTCCAAAGGCATTATTCCTTTTTAGGATTATGTAGTTAAATTCTTATTTTAAAAATATGATTTTAATCATTGAATCTATATATTTTATAAGACTTATTCAAATAATTAATGATAGTATATGTGTAACACCCTCAGACCGATATAGATGGCTCAATTTGATATGTCGTGTAATATTAGTGCCTTCGGAGAAACTCACACTGTAAATCCAAGAAAAATAAAAATTTTCTCAAACAAAATTAAAATATAAGTTGAGAAATCATTTAAATGATAAACATAATTCCAGAATACATGTTATAAAAATAAGATATGACCAACATGCCCCCTAGTTACACATGTATTGTATTCCGCAAGTGACACCGAAGGAACTCCGATTACTGACGTCAATAACTACACATGATCAATTCCTTTAACCTGAAATGGTAAGTAATGAAGTGAGATTTAGTAAAGCTCAGAAATACATAAGTTACATATGATGCTAAAGGTCAAGCAAATATATGGTAAAACATGAAATTTTCTTAGTAACCAGGCATCTACATGTTATAGTGATGAGTTGAAATTTTATTAATTAATCTTTCAGGTAACAGACAAGAAACCTATAATCCATAGGAAACATTTAGAGAGAGATTTTGGAGATTGCGTTAGGGAATCTAGTGTGTTCCAACAAAACCAGAGAAATAGGTATAGATAACTTAAAAATATTAATAATTTATTTCAAAAAAGTAGCTTTTAAAATCACATTAACACCCTACAATAGAACATTGATATGGAATTCACAAAATTGCATCCATAAGGACTTACCCTAGTCTCTTTGGGCGTAGGAGACAACCTATGGGAGCACCTTGAGTCCATAAGAACTTACCCTGACCGCAGTGTAGGAGCCTACAAAAAGGGGTGCCTCATGTTCATAAGGACTTACCCTATACTCATTGCGCGTAGGAGCCATCTTAATGGAGTGCGTTAGGATTCATAAGGTCTTATCCTAGGCTTATTGGTTCTAAGAGCCTGTCGCCTTGAGTCCACAAGGAATTACCAGCTTGATCGATGTTGAACCTGCGAAGAACTCATAACAAATCCAGATAGTCCGCCGACATAAATTAGATTAAATAGTAAGCAATAATATCAGAAATCATGTGTTAGAAATATTTTGTATTAGAAAATAGAAAATAGAGATCATGATTTCACTTTAGATAACAAAATCATACATTTAAATAGAGATAACAATCACAATTTCAAATAAGAGAAAATACTCAAATGCATATGAAACACAATAAAGAGTCCAGTTTATTTTTTAGTGATACTTGGTAATTACGAAGAAGCAAACACAAAACTTATATTAATTGATCTGATTCCATAAATAAGATCCATATTAAAAGGGCTTTCTATAACTAGCATATCTATTTATACATTCAGTAGTTGATAATTCAAAATCATTAAGGATTTGAATATATCATAAAGTTATCCACAAATAGTTACATCAAGACTTTTTAAGATTGAGATACAACATGAGCAATTCCATTATTTAGCCATTAGGGGCATTTTAGACATTTTGATTTTTTAAGAAATTTTGGTAAATTATGTCAATAAGGGGAAAGAGTGATTTGTAGTATTCAAGATTTGAATAACTTATCATTCTCCCAAGTTAAATGGAACTGAGTAGATCCCGGTGATGTAGTACTTAGCAAGTGTTCAGATGGAAAAATTCATAATTTCCATTTATCAATATCGACTACATTATATAACTGAACAAACCACCTTCACAAATTATCACTGAACGTAACTCGAGGAAACGAGTTTGTATACATGTGGTATTTATTTTATTCTAGCTTTATAAAAAATCAAGAATTTTCGACATACATGAGTCATGCTCCATAACCTTTAGCGATTATACAACATTTATGTTTATTAGTGCTTTCAAAATTTATCCAATGATATTCACTTATTCTAGGTCATAATAGCATTTAGGTCATTTCAATATTCAATATCAAAATACTTTCGGTGAAACTAGTCTTCTACTATTTTTCCGAAAATAGAAATTCTAACTAATTTTCCATCTCAAAGGTAAAAATCAATTATCATGATTTTTCTAAACAAATAACGTATTTAACTAGTGAATCAATAGTTCGATAAGATCAAGTATGACTTTTAAGGGTTATCTATGCTTTCAGGGATAACCCATGTCCTTTTTACATCAAAAGGGTAATTTTTAAATTTCTTATCTAAGTATTTCCATCATTAATTTTTTTAACGAAAATAATCATAATCTAAGGATTCCAAGGTTAATTGCTTCACTGACTAATCACTAAACTTGGAAACATTTATTATCGGCCTTTGAGTTTCTTATGCAAGTCAATTGAGTCTTATTCAGTTCACTAACTTTTTGACACATTAAGTACGAGTTTAGAAATAATTAATTACACACATATTACCAATCATATTCATTCGTGAATTAACCAATACCAACGTGTTATGTAAAGCATGCAAAAGGTAATAATGTATTACCTCAATTCTTGAGCTACATTGGTTGTTCATTTAAACTTCATTTGACTGTTGTTGAACTTGATTTGATGTCTCATAATGTCTTGGATACATTGAAAAAACAATTACATCATAAACAAAACTTAATTGTGAAAATCAAATTGAATCGAAAGGTAAAATGCTCAAAACAACTTAATTAAGAGTCGATTTGATGTATGATTGCTTTGAAACTTTGCATGTTTCATTTTACTACGTTTAATGTTATATATATATATTTTAAAGATATTTTGGAACGCTTTTCGTATGATGTTTTGAAAGACACAAATACCCATAAAATATGTAACTTGATTTTGTATGAGCTTTTAATGACGATTATGTACGAACTTATTTTAGTGACTAAAGTAACAGTTGGTATCCCAGACGGACTACCCCGATCGAATGTTGGGAGCTATAAACTTAATTTGTAATTGAACCCTTGTGATACATAAAGAATCTAATCCCCAATTTTGAGATATCTTGATGAGTTAATCGAGAAACTCTAAACTTGTTCGAATACTAATATTATTATATCAACGTTTACTATTTAAAAACATGAATACAAGTTTACACAAGTTTGAGGACCCTTATTCTTATATGTTAGAACTTAATATTCAAGTAGTTTCACCATTAAAGGTTTAGGATAAAGAAGATGGGATTGAGAGGTGTTTTGGGTTCGATGATACAGATGACGGGATCGGGGACTGCGCTTTAAAAATTGATGTATAAATTATTTTGTTCATCGACATCGTGAACATAAAAACAAAATTTAGTAAAAAAGCAATAACTAGAAACAAAGTAATTTAAAAGTAAAATGATTAGAACATAGTTTACCCAATAAATAAATAAAAGTGCGATATAGACATCAATTATAAAAAGAAATTATAAGGAAAAGACAACAAAATGCATGGAGAAATAATTATATATCTAATGTAGAAGGCGTAGAGGGTGTAAGGTTGATATGGAAAGCATGGTTTGTGAGAAGAAAATATTTTCATTGGTAGACCAAAATATATAAAAAAAATTAAACTTGGGATTTGTTGGGGGTGCTGTAGGCCCGAGCAATAGTGCAATGTTAGGGCGACACTTGATAGTCCCAGTAGCAAGCTGCTGTGGTGGACCCTTCCCTCAAAAAATAAATTTAATACCATGTGATCCAATAGCCCTCTTGTCAGATATTAAACTGATAGGAATAGATAATAAATTTGTTTATTTTAGTGTCTACGCTTCCCAAATTGGTGCCAACACGAGTTCAAAATGGATGGAGAGTCTATATCGATTACAGAAAGTTGAATTCATTAATCCAAAAGACCATTTTCCTCTTCTGTTTATAAATCAAATGATAGAAAGGTTAGCTGGTAAATCTCATTATTGTTGTCTTGATGGGTTTTTAGGACTTTTTCAGATTCTAATGGCACCAGAAGATAAGGAAAAGACGATATTCACATGTCCTTTTGGAACATTTGCTTATCGACTTATGCCTTTCAGACTTTAAAATGCACCTGCCACATTCCAGAGGTGTATGACTAGTATTTTCTCTGACTATATCGAGAAAGGTATTGAAGTCTTAATGGATGACTTCACTATTTACGGTAATTTATTTAATGAATGTCTATTAAATTTAACAATTGTGCTTCGACGATGCCTAGAATTTAACTTTGTTTTAAATTATGAAAAATGTAATTTTATGGTTGATAAGGGGTTAATTCTAGGTCATATTGTTTCCTCAAAAGGGATTGAGGTAGACAGCGAAAACCAATATAATACGAACACTTCCATACTCACCACTGAGGGAAATCCGTTCTTTTCTTAGTCATGCAGGATTTTATCGCAGGTTTATCAAAGACTTCTTTAAGGTGGCACAACCATTGTACGAATTGCTGCAAAAAGATAAAGCCTTTGATTTCAATCAAGAATGCAGAGAATTGTTTGACATTTTGAAGGAAAAGTTAGTTTCGGCACCCATAATCCAACCACCAAATTAGGATTTCCCTTTCGATGTCATGTGTGATGCATCGAATAGAAGTGTTGGAGTTGTACTCGGAAAATATATTTGAAAAGAACCTCATGTTATCTCCTATGCATCACGAACCTTAGATTCCGCACAACGAAATTATTAAACAAGTGAAAAAGAATCATTTACTATCATTTTTGCATTAGAAAATTTTAGATTATATCTTCTTGGCACTAAAGTTATTGTTTTCTCTGATCATGCAGCCTTAAAGTACTTTTTATAGCAAAAAAGAGGCAAAACCATGATTAATCCGTTGAATCTTCCTCCTCCAAGAGTTTGATTTGGAAATCAAGGACAAAAAGGGATATGAGAATTTGGTGGCCAATCACTTAAGTCAGCTTCCAATCCCTACAGATGATCCTCCAGTCCGTGAGGAATTCCAGAAGGAAAGCTTGATGATGGCGCAAAAATCAATCCATTGGTTTATGGATATAGTTAATTACTTAGCTATAGGTAAGTCACCACCTGATCTGTCAAGAGCTGAAGTGAACCACATTAAAAGAGAATCTCACTTTCTCATTTGGGATGATTCTTATTTTTGGAAGCATTGTTCAGATCAGATAAATTGGCGATGTGTTGTCGAAAGGGAGGTAAACTCCATTTTAAATTTTTGTCACTCTTATTCATGCGGTGGCCATTTCGAACTAAAGTGGACTACTCATAAAATTATTGAATCCGGGTTTTTTGGGGCTCACATTTTTCGTGATGCAGACTTAGTTTGCAAATCCTATGATAAATGCCAATGTGCATGTAATTTAAGCCGAAGAAACGAAATTCCCCTTAATTCTATTCACATATGTGAAATTTTTTATTTTTGGGGACTCGATTACATGTGTCCTTTCGTTTCTTCCTTTGGAAATTGTTATGTAATTCTTGTTGTTGACTATGTTTCGAAATGGGTAGAAGCCAAAGTCACTCGAAACAATGATGCCAAAACTATTGTTCAATTCCTAAAAAATTTTATTTTTTCTAGGTTTGGCACACCAAGAGCAATAATAAGCGATTGAGGCACACATTTCATCAATTGGGTAATTGATTCTCTTATGAAAAAGCATGGAGAACTCACAAAATTGTCACGTTTTATCATCCGCAAACGAACAGAAAATAGAAATATCAAACCGAGAAGTCAAGACAATTCTTGATAAAATAGTCAAGCCGGATCGTTAGGATTGGAGCTTAAAATTAATTGATGCCTTATAGGCTTACCAAACTGCATATAAAGGACCTATCAACATGTCGCCATATCGCCTTGTATTCGGTAAACCATGTCATTTTCCAGTCGAGCTAGAACACAAGGCATATTGGGATGTAAAGCAGTGTAATATGAAGTTGGATGCGATAGGCGAAGCACGTAAATTACATATACATGAACTTGAGGAAATCCGGAGAGATGCTTATGACAACGCTAGGATATATAAGGGAAAAACAAAAGAATTTCACGATCAAAAAATTATTTTTAAATTGTTTTCTATCGGACAAGATATTCTTCTTTTTAATTCAAAGTTGAAACTTTTTGCTGGTAAACTTCGATCGAAGTGGTGTGAACCTTACATGGTGACTGCAGTTTTTCCTTATGCCATTGTCGAACTTGAAGATAATTCGACAGATCAATTTAAAGTTAATAGACAATGATTAAAAAAATATTATGAGAATAATCAGACTTGCTTAATTGAGGAGCTCGACTTAGAATAACTTATAGTCTGAACCAGTTCATCCAGCTAACGACGTTAAGCAAAATTGTTTTGTAGGAGACAACCCATTTTCAATTCTGATTTTTTTATTTTTTTATATTTTTTTATCATTTTTAGTTAGTAATTTATTTCATATAATTTTTCTATTTTTTTTATTTTCAGGAACCCAATGTTTTTGATCAAGCTTAAACGAAAGAAATTCAAAATTTTCATTTGAACAGTGTAAAATTCAGACCCTGGGAGTAGTAACAATCGCGAAGGCATTGGAAAAATCTGATCCAAAGTCGTGTGCATCGTTTCATTAAAAATGACGCACGTTAGCATTTCATTTTGAAGGCTGGCCAATTTTAGCCAAACCCAAAAACCATTTGCCACCCATTTTGAAACATATACTTGTCGTCTCCCATTATACCCTCTTTCTTTCTTTTTTATTTTCACCACAACCCCCAAATTCTTTACTTTATCTCATTTTTTTAAACCATATTTTAATAAAAACAAAACCTTACACTACCACTTATCATTTATTTTAATTTTTAAAACCAAACCAATTTCAATAAAATTAAAACCCTACGTGCCCTTCTTTTTGCACCAAAAACAAAAGCAAAACCCTTTCATATTTTTCACCATAAAACAAAACACCCATCATCTTTCTTCCCTCTATTTCTTTTCACCATCGACGAGCCTTACCTCCACCGCTCCGACCGCCTTCATTTCTGAACCAGTTAACACCATCGTACTCTTAAGCGGTCACTCTACTGTCCACGATCCGAACTTACGTTATATATATCGTTTCCTCACTTACAATTATTCAGAAAGAAATGATTATCTTCTTCCTTGAGTCGAGTTCAACTTTTCTTTTTATGGTGCATGTTAACCAGCCAGCAGGTGAACTTAGGTTTTTGGTTTGCTCAAGCTTTTATGATCATTATTCAATCCAATCGCCCGCTTATCCTTGGATCTTATATTACTGATTTAACTTCTCGCATTGCTAATATTGATGTTACCAGGTTTACTTATGCTTTTTCAACATATGCAATGGATGAGCGATGCTTGGATTCGATGGGCTTACTTGCTGGAACCCCGAGCACACTATACTTTGTTCTACTTGGTGTCCTTACTCCTCGCAGTGAGCATGTCTTTGTTCATCGTAATGCATTACAACCGTCACCTGCAGCACATCACCCGAACATGCAAACATAAATGGATGAGGTCTATAATTATTTCAGCACCATTAAGACAAATATTGTTGAAATCCTTTCATATCTTCGTCCCAGCGCCTCACGCCACGGCCGTGGCCGTGATCGATAGTAAAATTGGGGAGTACTCTATTTCTTCTCTTACATTTTACTTTTATGTTTTGGGACAAAATGCCTTATGTGAGGGACAGTAGAGTCTAAGTTAAAATTTCCCTTGCCTGTCTTTTTTTTAATGGTAGTATGTGTTGGTTGGATTTGCGAAAAGTTCCATTGATTTTTTTGTCATGTTGAATGTTTTTGGTGTGCCATGCTTGTTTGGGAACACATAATTATTTAGTTTAAGATATTCTTGATAGAGGATAGCATGAGTTGTGATCAAGTTGAATTTCTTGTGATAATCTATGATTTTTTTTGGTTTGAATATGCTTAGCTCAATGCTTGAAAACACTTTGGCGAGATTTGATCCTTTATAAGCGTATCATTTTGCTCTCATTTTGTTGGATTGAGTGTGTCGAATTTGACATTGGTGTTATAGAACTTGCATTTTAAATACTATCGAGATTACACATGAACATGATGCTTAAAAATGATTTGGGCACATTAGGATTAACTACTACATTTCCCCCACTAAATTGCCTATCCATGCATTTTACCCTAGTTAACCACTCTTGAGCCTATTCCCATTTTTTGTTTTCACCACATTTATAAACCCGAGCCTTTTTATTTTATCCCACTTTTCTACCTTTTTTAGGACAAGTGAACAATTTATTCAGTATATGATCATGCTCCATGAACATAAGAATTTTTGTGGTGTTAGAAAAGAAGTCATGTGCAAAAGAAAAAAGTTCTTCTTTGTTTTCAAAAAAATAGTAGTTCGAATAAAAAAGTAGAGGACCCCTCGCACAAATTACTCAAGTGCTAAACACATGGTTTTTTACTCCTTAAAATGGCATCGTTTAGTGCCTAATATATATATTTTAAATCAAGGCAAAAAAGGATTGATTCTCCCATTTACTCATTTATATTTTTTACCTAAAAGATAAACTTAGTGTTTTTCTCTACTCTCCCCTCGCTCGTCCATCTCTCCGTCATGGGAGATAGGCCGTTTCAGTCTGACAACTCTGCACAGACACTGCCGTAAATTGCCTATAGTGGTTGGCATTTAGAAAGATACTAAAAATGATCCTTTTCCCTACCTATATTGATATCTAAGCCCATTTCTACCTAAAAACAAACAAAACTCCCTAGATCTAGGGATTTACCTTAATAAAATCTACTTCCCGGTGCCGCTTGGTTTTTTCGATGAACAATGAAGTAAGGTAAGCCTCTCTACTCTCTT